GTAAATTCTTTTGGAGCTAATACTTTGTATTTAGTTATGGTAATTTTTCATTAGGAAGAACATTTTCTTCTTCCCAATACATTTCTATCTTTAGATTCTTGCCTTGTGATAGTGTAGACTGTGAGGTTTTTAATTGCCTGAGATTATGCAGTAATATGACTCATATGAATGTTGATAGATACAATCTTGAATTTCAATATCTTACTCTATAGATAGAAAGGTATTACTGAATTGAACCTAAATGACAGGGAATCAGTAAATTAGGCTTCTTTTTATATTCCTTTGGACAAATCTTCTACTTATTATGTAGTAGGATTTGTCTGTCCTGTTTGTATATATTAGTGTAGGCTGATTAGAAAATTAAATCTTTGGACTGATAAGGGATTGAGGATATCTGTGTTATAAATTTTCCCCTGCTTCTTTATGGCATGTGTTTACCCATAGTTAAAGCAAACTGTATTAAAAAGAACAAACTTACACAACTTAAAAGTTAAACAATAGATGCTGTTCCAGTATACTAGCAACAACTAGTTGGAAATATGAGTCCATTAACTCTAACAACAAAAAATATGAACTACCTAGCTATCAGCTTAACAGGAAGTATATAGAGTTTGTAGTAAGAAAACTGCAAAGCTTAGCTAATGGCGTGAAAGACTACCTGAGACGTAGAGAGCAGCTCCTGTTGTTGAACAGGAGAATAATGTAGAGATCATCGTTTTCCTCAGATTAGTCTGTAAATTTGATATAGTGCCAGTCATAGCCCCAAAAAAGAGAGTGCGTGTTTTGGGGGAGGGTAAGAGGAAAAGGAGCAGGAGAGAGAAAGCATGTGCGTGTGTTTAGAGGGTTGGAGATGGACTTAATGAGTCATCTAGAGCTGCATCATCTGTACAGGAGCCACTACCTACATCTTGGTGTTTAAATTTAAATAGATTAAAATTTCGTTTCTCTGTTGTACTAGCCACATTTCAGGTGCTCGCTCAGTAGCCACATGTGGGCAGCATCTCCTGTTTTGGACAAGGCAAATTATAGACCATTTCCATCATTACAGAAAGTTCTGTTGGACACTGTTGTTATAGAAAAGTAAAAACTCAAGAATAGCCAAGTAAAATTTAAAATAAAAGTAATTATGGGAGATTTCCCTACCAGGTAATAAAACATATTATAAAACGTCTTTAATTAAAGCAGCATAGGTCTGGTCCAAAACCAGATAGATTAAAGGAATACAACTTACCTTTGATATACGTTATATAATCTGAATTTTCTTTTCCTGGTTAAGTTTATTGTAGCTTAGTTGTTCCTGGTTATGGCTTTGTGGGGTTTTTCCCCCACTGTTAGGATGTTTTTTTCTTTTTTCTTTTTGGAATTTACCATCTATTCTTAAATGTCTTTGGAACTTTTGCCTTTTACCCAGACTATTACCTTAACTTACTTACCAGTTTACTTTTCTCCAATTTCTTTCCACTTCTCTTCCGTATTGCCGTAGTTCTTTTTCTGCAAAATCTGTTAAACCTACTTGATGCTCAAAAACTTCTGAGAATATTTCTCATTCCTTAGGAAAGCGTTCAGAGCCTTTCCCAGTCAGACCCCAGTCTACATCTAGTTTCTGCTCCAACTTTCACCCCTATACACAATCCCATTTTGTTGATAGGACTAAATTCAAAACCAAGAAAATGCTAGCAGTGACAATTCTCAGGAAGTATTCTAAATCTACTCTCTTATATTTTTAAAGAGAAAAAAACATATTTTGTCAGTAATATATTAATTTTGTCTAAAAACTGATCTCTCTTCTCTAATTTTGTTCCCACGTTACCTCTCACTCCATCCTGTTAATTGAGAGTAATATACCCATTAGCTAAGCATTTCTTTTCTTTTGGAAGCCACAGTTTGTAAGGAAATTATAAAAAGAGAATTATGCAAACCAATCACTTTGTAGTTTTGCTGGAAACCATATTGCTTTTGAAAATATTACACCACCATTATTTTTTTCACTCCTGTCAATGGAGTGGTACTTGTAATTTATGTTTTTGACAATGTACTCTTGGCATTTAGAAGCCCAGTTTGAATATGTTTAATGTTGTTACTGAATTGTCTCTATATGTGAAATTATCAGACCATTTCAAGTTATTGAGGGTTTAGGAATAAGGTCATTTGGGGTTCATATGGCCTTCTCACTTTTCACCTTTTTTACATCATTCTGTACTACCTGGAATCCTCACCAGATATCGATACATCATGACTTGGCATTAAATCAAGTGCCAAGGACATTTACTAAGTGCCTACCTTTTAAGAAGGCTTAATTGTGAAAATCTCAAATTCCTTAAATCAGAAATCGTAAAATCAAAATACAAAAACTTTACATATTAACACCAAAAAAGGCCATATAAGCACATTCACTTGGAAATGTTTTGCAAGATAAAATTTTGGACTATTTAGAAATAAAGAAATGAACAAAAACAGAGCCCAGTGTAGCAGTTTTGGCATTTGGCCAAAGGCATATGCTGAAGAAAATTTAACTTTAATTTAATATGTTGGGTGTTTTTAAAAATAGACACGAGTAATGAGCAAATGAATTGGGCATTCAACTTAAGAAGTTTTAAAAAAAGAAAATTCTAAAGAAAGAATAAAGAATTGTTAAGAATCAAAACAGCCAGTCCTGGTGGTCTAGTGGTTAAGATTCGGAGCTCTCATGGCTGAGGCCTGAGTTCCTTTCCTGATAAGGGAACCACACCACCTGTCTGTCACTTGTCACACTGTGTGTGGCGGCTGCATGTTGCTGTGATGCTGAAAGCTATGCCACCAGTATTTCAAATTCCAGCAGGGTCACCCATGGTGGACAAGTTTCAGCAGAGCTTCCAGACTAAGACTAGAAGAAGGACCTGGCCATCCACTTCCAAAAAGTTGGCCGCAAAATCCCTATGAGTAGCAGCCTAGCATTGTCTGATATAGCACCAGAAGGTGAGAGGATGGCACAGAAAGACCAGGCAAGGTTCCGCTCTGCTGTACACGGGGTCACTAGGAGTCAGAATCGACTTAACAGCGCTCACAACAACAAAAAATAAAAGCAGAAAGTAATAGCATAGAATGTAATAGATTAATCAGTAATGTTAAAATTCTTTGATAAAGGCTGATAGGCTTTTAGCAAGGCTGAGCAAGAAAAAGATACAAATAACCTTTAGAATCAGAAAAGTTGTATGGCTGCAGATATGGATTTTATCTTCACTCATAAGAGAGGACTTTCAATCAAGTTGTCAGGATATTCATATGTGTAACCCTCCTGCACTCTAGATGCATAGAAATCATACATTTAAAATATATATATATATATGAATTTGTGACATACAATCTCAGAAACAAGAAGAAAATCTCTTCAGGTGAGAAAGAAGAGGAGACAAAGCAGCAGTTCGGTTTGAATCCATTAGAGCCATATAGAAAGAACACCAAAAAGTAGTAGAGATGAGTTGGAAAAGCCCTCAAGAGAAAAACTAGCCCCTGAATTGGACTTGAATTGGTTGCTTTCTTATAGTATGGTGAAGAAAGCAAAGTAGCTTACATAGATTTCATTATTCTGTTGCTGTATAACAAACTGCCCTGAAGCTTAATGGCTTAAAAAGCAACAGTTCCTTATTTCTGATGATTTTCTGGGTTAACTGGATGCTTCTTCTGCTTCACATGGTGTTGGCTGGGGCGCTGGAAAAGGCTGGAAGATCCCAACTAGCCTCATTCACATGGCTGGCATTGGTGCTAGTTGCTGGTTAGGACTATAGCTTGGGCTTTTGGCCAAGGGCCTTGATTCTCCTCTGTTTGAATATCTTCCATAGGCTATTTGAGCTTCCACACATTGTAGCTGCTGGGTTGTAAGAAAGTACATTCTAAGACAAAGGCAAACACCACAAGGCATCACACCACCTAGCTTTAGAAACCACACAGCTCACTTGTGCCATATTCTTTTTAACAAAGCTCATCTAAGACCGGCCTAGATCCAAGGGAGGGGGAAACAGACGACGTTTCTTCATGGTAAGAGGGTTGTCATACAGCGAAAGGGCATGTAAGATGGAAGATAGGAGGCTTCTCGAAAAATGTAGTTTATCACAATCCCTATTTGAGATTTTAAGATTGAGAATTTTGCCCAGCCTCATATCACCAAAAATGTTAAAGCAATGATTAGAACTCAAGTTAATCTGATTCCAAGGACTACTCACCCTTCACCAGTGTCCCTCACTGTGAGAATTACTTCTTCCAGGAGGGAATACGGAATAAATTGAAAGGAATAAGAGAAAGTTCTTGGTCTGTAAGATGTGAGCAAGAACTTGAATGGGGAATCAGATTTGTAGGATATGTAAAGGAAAGAGCAAATCATTCAAGTATGATGGTATGTAAGGCTCATGAAGATGTGAGGTATGGATGCTTGGAATGAAGCTGAGTGATAGATTGGGGCCAATTCATGCAGAGCCCTGTATGAGAGTTTCTTAAAGTTTTGGAGGAAGTATGTTATTAGACATGGGCTCCAAAAAGATACCTCTGTGTAAAACACATTATAATGATTGGGCAGTGGAGAATACTAATCTAAAAGATTAGGTAGATTACATTGGCAGTATTACGGAGAAGATTAACAAAAGCTTGAACCAAGGTAATAGAAATGAGAATGAAGAGGTGATGGTTCCCACAAAAATTGAAGTATTCAAATCAGTAAAAACTGGCAACCAATTAAATGTGTGGATCAAGGCAGAGAAAAGAGTCAGAGTTCAATAATATTAAAATAAAGCTGAATGTGTACCCTTTCTTTATTTGAAAGTTGTAATACCATAAGTGTCAGTTCATTAATCATGTTTGCACTCTTTCGTTCCTTGAAAATCTTCCCTAAAATTTTTCAAATGAAGCTATCTTATTTGATTATTATCACATTTAACAGGTTTTCATTAAAAAGTCATGCAAAAATTAGGTCTTGCCATTTCAAATTTTACACTCTAAATTTCTATGCTACTTCTCTTTTCTCCCATTAGGTTAATGGCACTGATGCAGATTATGAATATGAAGAAATCACACTTGAAAGGGTAACAACTGTTAATTGTCTTAAGTTTTTTTATGTGTAAATATGGTGCTTTGAAGAACCGTTTAAATATACTGCTCTTTAATATAGAATCCAAGAGACAAGATCTTTCAAAAACAGAACCATGTAATATTAGTTTCTTTATAAGTTCACATATCATAAAATTAGCCATGGTGTTTTCAGAACCTGTTAGTTTTCTTTAATATAAACTTTATGTAAAGTAGTTTTAGATTTACAGAAAAGTTGTACAGTGAGTTCCCATTTACCTTGGACTCAATTTTGCATATTAACATCTTACATTACTAGAATACATTTGTTTCAAGTAATGAACCAATATTGATACATTATTAACTAAAGTTTAGATTTTATTTGGATTTCCTTAGTTTTTATGTTTTTCTCTTCTAGTCTACCACATTGCATTTACTTATCATGTCTCCTTAGGCTCCTCTAGACTGACAGTTTCTCAGATTTTTCTTGATTTTTAATTTTATTATTTAGTCTTCATATGATAAAATATTTATTATAAATAAGTTTTTAGTATCCTAGTAACATGCTCATTGTATCAATTTTCTTTTCTAGCAAAATAATTGTCATAGTTCTAATGGACAAGACTCTATTGAAAACTTACTATCATTTACTCCCCCAGTGAGAAAATAACTTGAGTACAATTCAGATGTGTAAATTTTCTTGAATATTTTCCCCTTAAGAATATCTGCATTCAACTGATGCTATATTTTAGTAATGCCACCTTGTCTGACCAGCATTGGGGGAAATGAAGAGTTCAACACAAGTAAATTTCCTAAGAACTGAGAGTCTGTATATTTAAGACAAAAACTCTAGATAATTGGATTTGCCAGAATAGACTGAGTGAAAATAGACCTGAGAGAGTCTTTTACGTTTATAATAGATGTTTATTGCCTGCTACCCAAATTTGGGTCACCTGTTCAAGTGACGTGAATGACTGAGTAACTTTCAAGTAAGCTCAGTATTAATGTACTGTACATATTTTAATGTGGTATTTTGTTGGTCTTTTTTTCCCAGCCTTATTGAGATAAAATTGACAAATAATCCTAACATTTTATTTTATTTATTTTTCATTCTTTTCCAGTGCCTTTTAAATTTCTTTCTAAAGTCGTGACTATGTTTTATATTTTTCGCTGATTAAAGAACTTGAGTACCAGGATTGGAGAGCTGTTATTAAAGGGTACAGACTTGCAACTAGAAGATGAATAAGTTCTAGGGATCTAATGCAGAACATACTGCTTATAGTCAACAATACTGTATTATGTACTTCATAATTGCTGAGAGACTGGATCTTAAATGTTCTTGCCACAAAAAATAAATGATAATTATGTGACATGATAGAGGTGTTAGCTAAAGCTACAGTGGTAATCATATTACAGTATATAAATGTATAAAATCAACTCATTGTACACCTTAAACTTATACAATGTTATATGTAAACTATATCTCAATTTTTAAAAGGCAAATGAAAACAAGAACTCAAGTACCTGAGTAACTTGGTAACCTCACACAACCTATTGATGCTATTATTGAAAATATAGTAACTCTTGAAGTGTTTAAACTGAAAAAAAAAATTGACTAAAATAGAATTTTAGGACACATCATAGTAGAGTGAAGGTTTAAGCTGTTTAATACTAACAGTGAAGTAATAGGTCAGGATATATCCACTTATTTGAGTTGCCTGAAAGCCAGAGTTAGAACATTTCTTGCAAAGATAAGCATTTTTTAATACTATTACTTAGGACAGTTGTTCTTGAAGACTTTCTGTAGCAGTAGAACCCTTTCTTCAAAGAAAATATTATTCAAAATGCAGAATGTAAAACAAGCAAAAAGTAACTCTACTTTGGCAAAATTGACTTTGCTATCAAGAAAGCTTACCAGTGTTAAGTACTCAGGTTGGGCTTTGTATTAGAAAATGCCTTTTGCAGGGCCAGCCCAGTGGTGCAGCAGTTAAGTTCACATGTTCGATTCGGCGGCCTGGTGTTTGCCAGTTCAGATCCTGGGTGCAGACCTACACACAACTTGTCAAACCACGCTGTGGCAGGCGTCCCACATATAAAGTAGAGGAAGATGGGCACAGATGTTAGCTCAAGGCTAGTCTTCCTCAGCAAAAAGAGGAGGATTGGTGGCAGATATTAGCTTAGGGCTAATCTTCCTCAAAAACAAAAATGCCTTTTGCTAGTCAAGTGTCTTGGTTAAACACGTCAAGCATGGTGGCACCTGTTACTTAGCAGATACAATTTGGTCATTTTAAAGTAAGCTGATAGCAAAGTTAGCAGAAGGAGAGCACCACCTTCTACCTCTTTTTTAAAAGGCTTTTTTAAAGGTTTTACCTACTCAGAAATAACGGCAGCAGAAAGATCACTTCAGTGTTTTTCTCTCAGAAGAGATTTGTTTTACCAAACATGAGTGAGATGCACTCTGGAAGAAAGAGACCTAATAGTGACACCTGTACAGATGGATGACTAATCCAGGGACAAATTGCACATACTTTTAAAGAAAGAACCATAGACTAGACTCCAAAAGTGCTCAGTACGTGTTCTTCATGCTCACCTACCCAACAGTAATGCCTCTGAATTCTTCATAGAGAAAAAAGAGCTTTCTTTAAGTTTCCTAATTTAGAATCTTCGTATTCCTTACACATACACTTTTGTGTGTGTGTGTTCCCTATGTTAGTACAGTTTCTAGGTCCTATAATGCCAGGAAGCTATCAATAAAGATAATTCTTATTCAGTCTTGAATGTTTTTTCTTCTATCCCCAGGGAAATTCAGGGCTTGGTTTCAGCATTGCAGGAGGTACAGACAACCCACACATTGGAGATGACTCAAGTATTTTCATCACCAAAATTATTGCAGGGGGAGCAGCTGCCCAAGACGGAAGATTGCGGTATGTTTTGCACTTTATGTTGTGATACTGAATCCACTTTGTGTATTTTTCTGAGGCAGACCGAACAGTCATAAATACAAATAAGAAACTCTATCATAATAACTTACATAAGATAGATACTCAAATACCAAGAATGAATGAGAGAATTGTGCTCCAAGCATTGTTTTCCTCTTGTCATTTAAGAATTCAATTTTATCTGAGCTATTATAACATTTTGACTAATAAGTTTTATCGGTGGTTGAGATGTTTGTGAGCAGATTTATAAAAAGTAGAGATTTCCCTTTGTATTTTCAAATAACATTCACAAAATGTTTTCCCTTTATTTTCTGGGTGGGAAACATCTATAGAAACTTATTTAAGATAAAGGGGATCATATAGATCTGGGTTTGTATCATACTACAAAGAATAAAGATGATGCAAACTTTAAATAAATTACTGTATTTTCTTAATTGAATAGATAAAAGTAACATTAGTCTCTTGTTTGAATTTAGTGTTCCGTTTCAGAAGATATCTTTAGCATACTTTGTTGTTTCCATAGGCTATATATTATGGCATAGATTTTCCTATTCCCTTGTTTGTTGTTTTTTATATACAGTGACCATCTAAAGTTTTAAGACTAAGGATTTTTATATGGTCTGTTAAAAACATCTCTTTTTTTGAGTTTATAATAGCTTACATCATTGTGAAATTTCAGTTGTACATTATTTCTTGTCCATCACCATGTAAGTGCTCCCCTTCACCCCCTGTGCCCACCCCCTAACCCCTTCCCCTGGTAACCACTGAACTGTTCTCTTTGTCCATGTGTTTATCTTCCTCATTTTAGTGAAGTCATATGGTGTTTGTCTTTCTCAGTCTGGCTTATTTTGCTTAACATAGTACCCTCCAGGTCCATCCATGTTGTTGCAAATGGGATGATTTTGTCTTTTTTATGGCTCAGTAGTATTCCACTGTGTGTGTGTGTGTGTACACCACATCTTCTTTATCCAATTATTGGTCAATGGGCACTTGGATTGCTTCCCTGTCTTGGCTATTGTGAATAGTGCTGCAGTGAACATAGGGGTACATAGGTCACTTTGGATTGTTGATTTCAAGTTCTTTGGATAGATACCCAGTAGTGGGATAGCTGGGTCATATGGTATTTCTATTCTTAGTTTTTTGAGGAATTGCCATACTGTTTTCCATAGTGGCTGCACCAGTTTTCATTCCCACCAGTGGTATATGAGGGTTCTCTTTTCTCCACACCCAAAACATCTTATTTTAAGGCTGTTGGTACCTCATGCAGCTCTTTAGTTTCTAAGCTTTACCTCTCACTGGATGTGACAGGTGATATTTAGTGAAATTAGTTAGATACAAAATTAATAATTTGATTGTTCATGTGAACGTAGACATTTACTTTCTGATTCTGTTACTGGCCTTTTATTTATGCTTCTTATGTAAAAATTAATGTTCTGTTTGTTTCACTGAAGAACGTTTCTGTGGTACTAACTCCAAGCTATCACTGTCTTTGGTTATAGAATTTATTTCCTGTAAAAAAAAGTTAATTCGATAATTATCGGGATCAGTTTTAATGTTTTAATTGTGTTTTGTTCCTCTTCCCTGCCCAATTTGAGATGACCATCTTTTTTTTTTCTTTTTCCCCTAATGGAATATCATGCAATTGAAACTGAGACCAGAACCAGGAGGAAAAGTTAGGACTAGGAATAAATCAAACTTTAAAAAAATATATTACTATGTCAAGGGTAAATTATTTACTTGAGAAACCTTTTAATAATTGGCATAATCTTTAACTTCATATAAATTTCAATAGATAGCTTTGTTTTTTAAAATCTATCTAGATTGGAAAAAGCAATCAAAAAATTATTTTTGGATAAATCACTGAATTAGTCTCAGTTTTGCCACTTACTGTCTCTCTAACCTTAAGGTGATTACTCAGTCTGAACCTCAGTTTTTTATCTTTGAATCACAGTTCTGTCAGTCATCATCTGGGTGGCCTTGAGAAAGTTAGTTAAACTCTTTGTGCCTCAGTTTCTCCATCTGTAAAACAGGGATATAAATATATATCTATCTTACAGATTGTTGTAAGGGCTAAAACACTAAAAGAAGTACCTGACATGTAGTTAGTGCTAAATAAATATTTGCTGTTTTTGTAAAGTATCTAATGCATACACATAACAAGCATACAATAAGCATACAAATTACAGCTGTCATAATGATTTAATATTTTCATGTAATAATCTATTATTTATACTGTTTCTTTTACTGGCCCTTGGGAAATGTTTGTTATTTATTTATGTGGGTATTTGATACATGGAGTATTTGACATGGAGTTTCTTGATTTATATATTCTCTACTAATAAATAATTCTCCTTAAAAATGAAAATGACAAGAAATAATTGGCAAAGGAAAAGTCGATATTTAAATTTTTAATAATTAATTTTAATTTTTAATATTTTTTTCCTCAGGGTCAATGACTGTATATTGCGAGTAAATGAAGTAGATGTTCGTGATGTAACACACAGTAAAGCAGTTGAAGCATTGAAAGAAGCAGGGTCTATTGTACGATTGTATGTAAAAAGACGGAAACCAATATCAGAAAAAATAATGGAAATAAAGCTCATTAAAGGTCCTAAAGGTATGAAATAAATCAAACTAAGACAAATTATTAAGTAAGAAATCTCTGAGTTAAATGTAACTATGAAGTTATTTGTGACCGACATTCTAAGATTAGCAATACTGGTAAGCTACAGACCTTATGTGAATTTTTAGAATGTCTCTGTTATTTCTACTGATTTTTGTCTTAAGTAGAATTCCAATTAAACACTTTAAAGGTCGTGTATAGTGTTGATATTAACTTGTAATCAGTTATCTACAAAGTACATTAAATGCAGATACGCAGGCAAAGTTCAAAGAAGAAAGAATATTTGTGAGTGTGTCATTAGCCGTTACATCTACAGTGAGGACTGTTAAGATGTGATTTCTGAATTTTGAAAATATTGATGAGATTGAGGATAAATGGAAATACTGATTCTAATTTGTGGCTTCGTGGAAGAGGTGGTATTCCAACAAATTAAAAAAGGAATAGAGAACTACAAATTGGTGTTGAAGCTGAGAGAGTTATGAATTTCAGAAATTCCCTATTTAAAATTCATTCATAGAATATTGGAAAAAGAACCAAGTTACCCACATTTCTGAAGCCTATTAGTTCTGCCCACCAACAGACCATTTTATTTTTTCTCAATTGTTTTAATCTTGCCAATGTATTAAAAGTGTTAGTAAGAAACACAATTATGATGGAAACAAAAGTGAAACATAATTTTACATTGTCTCTTTGAACTAACAAATGCGTTTACAAAGAGCTTTAAGAAGTAACCTGGAAGAAAAAAGGAACTTATTTCTAACTATAGGAGCACTTATTCATCATTGTCCCTGATTGCAGAACAAATACTTGGGATTTAAAAAGTAAGTAAATGGGTTCTTTTCTATTTTTAAAAAAGTTAGTGTGATGAAATTATCACCTTCTACTTTTCAGCCATTTCTTTCTGGACTGAAGTTCTCATTTATTGATGAGATTCTAAAACTAGTGTTTTCCAAACAGGTCTTGGATTCAGCATTGCTGGAGGTGTTGGAAATCAGCATATTCCTGGGGATAATAGCATCTATGTTACCAAAATAATTGAAGGAGGTGCAGCACATAAAGATGGTAAACTTCAAATTGGAGATAAACTTTTAGCAGTAAGTATAAGAAATCTATTGTTACAAAAATCATTTTGATGTCTTCTTTTTTCCTGACAGACCCTAGAATTTCTACATGCCAAAAATGTTTAAATGATATTTAAATGAGTGAATACTTGCTTTAGTCAAAATCAAAAATGTTTTTTGGTATTATCTTTATTTGCTATGTCCTCTACCAGCTTCCCTCTCTTTTCCTTCTATTCTTTTTTTTTTCTTTTTCCTCCTCTTTTTTGTTGAAGGGTTAGGGGCTTGGATGCCTAGAATTGTTTAATCATAATCCTTAGTTTTATAACACAATGTCATCCTTTATTCTTGTGTGACCTTCTTTTTTCCTTTTTTTGACTTTATTTCATTTTGTTTATAATATAATGAAAACTGCTAGTCATTCCCTAACTCAAGAACTAGAATATCAACAATCTGTTTCTCGTTCCTTTGCTTTTTTTTTTAAAGATTGGCACCTGAGCTAACAACTGTTGCCAATATATTTTTTTTTCCCTGCTTTTTCTCCCCTAATCCCCCCAATGTATAGTTGTATATCTTAGTTGTGGGTCCTTCTAGTTGTGGCATGTGGGACGCTGCCTCAAGGTGGCATGTCAGCGCCCAGGATCCGAACCAGCGAAGCCCTGGGCCACTGAAGCAGAGCGTGTGAACTTAACCACTCGGCCAGAGGGCCAGCCCCTCCTTTTCTTTTTAAAAATTGTTTAATCACGTGCATATGCCTAAATATTCTGTTTAGTATTAATTGTTTTGAAATTTTTTTAAAGGCTATTGTGCTGTATATAGTCCTTTAATACTTTTTTACTCAATATTGTTTTACTGAGACTCATCCATATTATTGCCTAGAGCTGAAATTTATTCATTTCACCTCTATGTAATACTCTGTTCTGGGACTGTACCACAATTTATTTATCCAGTCTTCATCAATAACTGTCTTAGCCCATGTTCCCTAGAAAAACAAAACATGAAGAAAAGCTGCTGTGCTATCATATTATTGGGAACTGTAATCTTAGAGAAGCTAGAGTGAGCGAAAATAAAAAGTGAGCCAGAGAATGAGGGAAAGCCAGAGTAAGGTATTCTGTTTCTGAGCTGGCTGTAATTTAATGAGAAAATGTAGCTCATTGCTTGTCATGTAGGACAGTCTTCCAGGCAGGTGATGTGGAACCACTAACCCTTAAATCCAGCCATCTAGGGCAAAGAAAGGATTTATCCGCTGGCCCCTTTTAGTCTCCTGTCTCTTGTTAGTTAGAATCTACTCCCTGGGGGTTAACTGTCCCAAATTTCTGGGCTGTGTCACCCAGCTCATCTGGGCAAATGCTAGGAAGCCAGCTCCCATAGTCCCTGGCCCAGCACCTCCCCTGAACTCAGAAGTGGTGGGAAGAGCTAGAGCCTCAGTGGTCTGGACAGGTCAGGCATGGTCTTCTAACACATTACAGCTCTCACTGTGTGGAACACACCAGCCATGCCAGTCCCAGCCCTTACCCCAGAAGAGGCTGCAAGAGGTGGTAATGGTAGGAGACAAGGCGAGAGGAACAGTAGCCAGGACTCTCCACTAAGCAAGCAGCCAAGTCCTGGTGGGCAGGTAGGTTCAAGTGAGTTTGAAAAGGCACATAAACTAGGTCTGCTATAGTGGTGAGTTGTGTGATCCCCCCTTTTTTGGTATTATGAATAATTCTGCTAGGAAGAGCTGCTGTGTGTTCTGGTGAACATGTACAAGAGCTTCACCTATTTAAGAATGTAATTTAATGGATCGTGGTATATCCTATTAGTAACATTATAACAAAAACGTATTGTTTTCCAGACTGCTTGTAAAAATTTACACTCTTCGTCAGCAATATAGAAATGATTCCTTTGCTCTGCATTCTGTCCAGGACTGCTTATTGTTGCAGCAAGGAGCTAGACTGATTATTTTTGACTTAATGATGGGGAAGATGAAAGGGTTGACCTTGAACTGCTTTTCTCTAACTTATCCTCTCATGGCTGTGACTTGCCACTTTTTTCCCCAGGCTACAACCAAAACCCCCTCGTCATCAAACACACACATGTGCACGCGCACACACACCCCAGTTCAAAGCAGCCTTTTTTCTCCACTGGGTTTGTCACTTTTGTTTTTTCATTTCTTAGATACCACATTTTTCTTTTTGGTTTCTCTAGGATCAATTTTAGTGATGTGGAGCCAGCAGTTTATGCTGATTTGCTATTTAGTGTGGCTTTTGTTGTCATAATTCCACTGAAATTATTCAGTTCTTAGTTCTCATCTTAATTGACATATCAGGCATTTGACACGGCTTCCTCCTTCTTCGGACACTTTTTCCATTTTGCCTAAAGGTCACCCTCTGTCTTGGTATTCCACTTATCTCACTAACCCCTCCTCACTCTCCTTTTTCGTGCCTCGTCTCCCTCACCTCTAAACATTGAAGTGATCCAGGACTCAGTCCTCATACATTCTCTGTCTTTGATAGGTCTTCACATAACTTACTGAGTCTCATTGCACATGATAGGGATAAGTATTGTTTTCTGAACTTTAGTTTTATTTTTAGACACACACGTTTTGTGCATGGCTGAAATATAAAAATTTTTCACAGTGGCTCTTGTCAAAACATTTGAAAAGCCCTGAGGGATTTCATCTAGTCTCCTTTTTTATGTCTCAAGAGTCATCTCAAACTCAGTGTATCTAAAAATGAACATCTGAGTCCTCCCCGGGTCCCCATATCCTACTCCTTGTACAGTTTTCACTTCTCATTAAATGGAAACTTTATCCTTCTATTTGCCCTGGTCTGAAACTTTAGGATCATTCTCTTTCTTTCATACTTCTCATTGAATCCCTCAGCAAATCTTGTCAGCTCTTTTATCAGTGTTCTGATGCTGCATAAGAAAACACAAAAATTAGTGGCTAAAACAGCAATAATCATTTATTTGCTTACACTTCTACAATTTGGGTAGGGTTTGGACAGGACAGCCTGTCTCTACTCCACATAATGTCAACTGGAGTGGCTCAGCTAGGGCCAAGGATCCACTGCCAAGTTGGCTCACATATGGTGGTCAAGTTGGTATTGGCTGTCAGCTGGGAGCTCAACTGGAGCTATTAGCTAGGTGTTTAATTCTCCAGTGGCCTGTCCACATGGTTAAGTTGGGTTTCTCACAGTATGGTGGCCAAGTTCTGGGAGGGATGTACTAAGAGTAAGCTTTCCCAGAACACAAGCTCCAGTGTGTGGCATCTATCAATCCTTTCTTTGCATCTGGGTTACTAATGTCTCATTGAGTAAAGCTAGTTACATGGCCAAGCAAGATTCAAATTTTACAAGGGTGTGAATACCAAGATCCATGGCTCATTGCAGGCCACCAAAGAAACAGTATACCACAGCTGTATATTTCAAAGTGCAGGCAATCCTCACTATGCATGGTAGTGTGGGACCATAAAAATGACCATGCAGCTGAAACCCTGCAAAGCAGTGTTAATGATCAACTGGGAAAGTTGCAGTTGTTCTTTGACCTTTAGAAATTTTTGTGAAGACATCTAAAACACTCCTACTGTCAATTATAAAGGTACAAAATTAGGGAAATGAAAACTACTTTAAAATAGGTATTTGTTTAGTATGTTGTAATTTAAAGTATTATAAACATTATAGTGTTTTATTTCTTTGCAAAAAAAATGTTTACCAAAAAGAACAATCTAAACCTAAAACTAGCAGAAGGAAGGAAAGAATAAAGATTAGAGCAGAAATTAATGAAATAGGGAATAGTAAAACCACAGAGATCAACCAAACCTAAACTTAGTTCTTTGAAAAGGTCAAGAAACTTGACAAACCTTTAGCTAGATTGGCTAAGAAAAAGAGAAGACTCAAATTTCTAAAACTGGGAATGAAAGAGGGGGACATACAGGAATACTTTTATTTATGAACGACTAGATGCCAACACATTAGATAATTTAGATGAAATGGACAAATTCCTAGAAAGACACAAACTACCACTTCTATTCAACATTGTACTAAGGAGTCTAGCTAGGGCAATAAAAGAAAAATACATTTGACTGGGAAAGAAAAAGTAAAACTATAGTTGCAGATTACATCATATTGTATATAGAAAATCCTAAGGAACCTACAATAGAACTAATAAACAAGTTTAGCAAGGTTGCAGGATACATCATCACTACTTAAAATCAGTTGCCTTTCTATACAAAAGATAGATGAATGGCCAATAAATAATTGAAAAGAAATCTCAACTTTTGACTATTAACAATAGAAGTACAGATTTAAATATAACTTATGTACAAATTAAAACATATGTCATTTTACAGACTTTTTTAACAAATTGATAAATATTCATTGTTGGTGAGATTCTAGTAAATGAGCACTTGTATTCTGTGGTGGTGAATATAAATTTACTAAAGCTGTTTATTTAGTACAGTTCAAATACATATTAATGTTAGAATGGCCTAATAAATTATGATATAACCAAACAATGGGGTGGTGTGCAACAAGTTTTAAAAATGAAGTAATTCTGTGTGTCCCAACGTGGAAAGATGTTTAAGATACCTCATATTAAAAAATCCAGTTGCTGACCAAAAACTTGAGTATGGTCTCATTTTCTTTAAAAAAAAAAAAACACACAACTAAAATATACCCATACACATTCCTAAATACCTGAGAGTGGAAGGAGGTTCAGGGTCAGGGATTGGAAGAAATAGGGGCTGGAATCAAAACTGGCTGTTTCATTAGCATCCATAAACAACTTCACTTATCGTCATAAGCAACTTCCTGATATCATAGACGATAAAAATGGGTGTTTTCTTTCCATGCGCCTTTATAGTCCTTAGATCACACTCTCATTTTCTTGGTCTTTTGGTGTAATTGTTTATAACCTAAAAGCAGAAGGCAAGTGAAAATGTCTTAAAATAAATGTCTTTTGGGATTTTCTTTTAGGTGAATAGTGTGTGTTTAGAAGAAGTTACTCATGAAGAAGCAGTAACCGCCTTAAAGAACACATCTGATTTTGTTTATTTGAAAGTGGCAAAACCCACAAGTGTGTATATGAATGATGGCTATGCACCACCTGGTATAACCAACTGTAAGTCTGTTTGCTTAAATCTGTCTTCTTGCCAGAGATGTAATATATTTTAATGAAACTTTTCCAATATAAAATTTAAACATTATACCAATATTTTTAAAGGAACTGTTAAGTGTTTTAACCTAATAGTTTTAAAAAATCAATTTTAAGTCAGAATCATCATCATAAGGTGGGGGAGGGTACCTTTCTCCTTTACTATTTTATGATAGTAATTATTTTTAGCATTTAAAGCACTGATTCTCAAACTTTCTTGTAAATAATAGTCACCAAAGGTATTTGCAGATAATGCAGATTATTGTTTTGTTCTGATAGTTTGGGGATGGAGCACAGAAATTTACTTTAACAAGCAATTAATTCTTTTAATAAGTAAGGCAATTCTGATGCTTCTGGTGCCACTGGTTCATGAACTACACTTTGAGAAACACCGCTTTTAAAATATTTCTGAAACTTGGGATTTTCTGTACTCTCAGCTGTTTGAGCACAGATATTCGTACTTCAAGCTCCTAGTGTGTTGCCTAAACTATATTTGTGTGCAATACAGTTGTGTTACAGAATTGTTATTGTGGAAGTACTTACGTAATTTTAAGTTTCCTATTGATTTTCAGTTTTTTAAATATACAAGCTGAGATGAGATTTAAATGTATTTTTAATGTGTGTGTGTTGGTTGAAAAATGGTTTTACTTGTTTAGTGCATTGAGGTGATAGTGGAAGCACCCAGGTATAATAAAGGTCTTAAATGCACTCTTTGTAATCTGCTTTTCCAAGTTATCCTTTTTTAAATTAGGAAATTTTAGAGATATTTGTGATTTTGGAAGTGGCAATGTTTCTAATTTTAAAACTGTCAAAGTTTGTTACCATCACTAATCAGTATAAGTTAAATGCAAAATATATGTTGAAATATATATACCGTTCTCCAGTCATACATCTTTATTTTATGCTCATTGATTCATTAATTACTCAAGTATAACTGAATTTTTTCCTTAATAGCATTCAGCCTCTCTTAATGGACAGAGATGCTGCCTTTCACTTCGTTTGTGTCAGAAAAGAACTTTGCTTTACTTGTTAAAATTCTTACATTTATTTGGTCTTGCAGACAAACTTTATATAAGATCTTTATGTATTTTTATTTGTGATTAGAGATGCAAATTCAATAATAGCATTTTATTATTTTATTTAATAAAAATATTTAATAGCATTTTATTCACCAACTTAAGTATCAATTTTATTTATTGGTTATGCTGCCTTATGAGTTGAAGACAACTATGTGCACATTTATGACAGTTGTTCCACGAATTGAGAATTGGTGTCCTGATTATGGCCAAATATAGATAGCCAGACTGCTTGTTACAAATATGTTGAACTGAAAAAAAATGTTATTTTCTTATTGAATTATCTGTTTTTATATATAATAATATGACATTTAAAAAATGGAAGAGCTCGTCTTAAAGAGTAATGATTAACTAAGGATGAGTTGTTTTCCTTATGGGGATAGGTAGGATATTTCTTTCCTTTTTTTTAATCTAATATTGAACTAATGGAACATTATGAAAAAGTTTAAGTATAACATTCTATTTCCTTTTCCCTCTTTGTTAGGCAACTACAACTGTGAATTTGGTTGTATACTTCCAGTCCATGTTCATACTACATATGCAGTTCATAAATAATTTGTTTTTTAAAAAGTATTTGTGTTTTAAACTTTTCATATAAACAATTTTTAACCATCAACCCTGCTGAAGCCCTTGCCGTCAGACTATTCAGCTTCCCGCCTATCCCTTACATCGTTAGTCATCTGCTGTCCTCCTCATCATTCTGGCTTTGGTCACTGGAGATCTTAGGGTCAGACCCATTGTCCTTCTTGCCTCTGCTGTTCACGTCGTCATTCTTAGTGATGTCCAAGCAAAATCCACACTGATAATTCATTTAACAACCTTGCTGCTTTGTTTCTTGATCACTTCCTTTTTAACTATCCTGCCCTCTACTCCAGCTCTGATACTTGCTTCCGAGATAATAATTTAGGTCTTATCATTATCAGTACATTCATAACCTCTGAAGTCTTGGTTTAAGCCATCCCGTCCTCTGACTGCCATCCTCGGTTCATTTACCCCTGTTCTGGCAATTCATCCTCATTTTGACCTTCAATCATGTGACACTATCACTTGATTCCCCCCGTGTCTCCACTTGTCTACTTTTTTTTTAGCTTAGCTTCCGTGATTTGTCATGATACTCACTTCCTTGCACGTATCTTCTACACCCTTGCCCCCTCCTTTTTCATTCAACCTGCTGTCTTCCTCCATTCCTATTCCCTAAAAAGCAGAACATGACTGGAGAAAAGCACAAAATTCTACTTTGAGTTATGATCATAGATCTCAGATGGGGCCATACTATTGTGGTTGTAATCAAAATATGTATAATAACCAAAATATGGTACCTGGGAATTAAAGTAGGTTTATTACTGAAGAAGAAAATGTTCATTGGATCTGATAGAGAACATAGTTTCTCTGCTGACATTAAAATGCTCATGCTTTTGCATTCTCTATCTTCCTCCTCTTTTTTGTTGGTGAGGAAGATTCGCCCTGAGCTAAAATTCGTTGTCAATCTTCTTCTTTTTTCTTTTTTTCTTTTCTTTTTTTTTTTAAGGAAGATTAGCCCTGAGCTAACATATGCTGTCAATCCTCCTCATTTTTTGCTGAGGAAGACTGGCCCCGAGCTAACATCCATGCCCATCATCCTCTACTTTATATGTGGGATGCCTACCACAGCATGGCTTTGCCAAGTGGTGCCATGTCTGCAGCCAGGATCCGAACCGGTGAACCCCAGGCTGCCAAAGCAGAACGTGCGCACTTAACCGCTGCAGCACTGGAACAGCCCCATTCTTTATTTTTTTTAAAGATTGGCACCTAAGCTAACATCTGTTGCCAATCTTCTTTTTTCTTCTTCTTCTTCTTCTCCCCAAAGGCCCCAGTACATAGTTGTATATTCTACTTGTAGGTCCTTCTATTTGTGCTATGTGGGATGCTGCCTCAGCATGGCTTGATCACTGCTTCTGGGTCCACGCCCAGGATCCAAACCAGTGAAACCCTGGGCCACTGAAGCAGAGTGCGAGAACTGAACCACTCAGCCACAGGGCCAGCCCCCATCCTCCTCTTTTTTTCCCTTGAGGAAGATTAGCTCTGATCTAACACCTGTGCCAGTCTTTGTGTACTTTGTATGTGGGAAACCTCCACAGCATGGCTGATGAGTGGAGTAGGTCTGCACCCAGAATCTGAACCCATGAACCCGAGCCGCCAAAACAGAGCAGGCAGAACATTAACCACTTTGCCACGGTGCTGGCCCATATCTTCTCATTTTTGCAGTACATTCTCTTCAGCTGGAAGGCTAAACTTCTGATTTGACCACTGATCTCTTCCCACTTTTACTTCAAACTCCTCCACTTGCTTTTCTCCCAAACCTCGGAGGGCTTGGGTCATTAATCTTGATAGTTAAAGACAGTAAATTAGGCTGCCTTGTTTTGTAGTTTCCTGGTGAATCTTTTTACATAGGATTTTGGGGGTGGGAATTAGCATTGTTTTAACTGATCCTTCTTTGAAGGAGCTGTCATTTCTTTGATAGGAACATTAATTTTTAGTCCCCGCTGTGTGAAATGTTATGCCTTACGAGTGAGAATGACTCCTCCAGAAAGGATCCATTGAGTAAAGGCACAGTCTGGATATGGCAGGGAAAACACATTGGGAGTACATTTCCTGGCTTGGGCAGTTGACTGAAGTTCTTGTCCAGTTGTTTTTTTGTTCCATCCAGACTTGTTAATGCAGCAAAGAAATTTGAGTCAAAAAACAGTAAACTCTGAACTTTGGAAGGCCAGTAATTGCAGAGATTCACATGAGTGTCTGTTGCTTTAGGGCAATGTGCTAGTTCCCTTGAAAATCACACATCGTGCTTATCACCCTGGAGAGACTGGACTTTCAAAGTCAAGAGCCGTTGGTAGAAAGTCTTTTGGCTCAAATGCAAAAGAGCATCTTTTATATGAACTGGACAAGAAACAGTTGCTATTGGATACTGCAAACCTGTAATAGCAAAGATAGACTGGGCTTCCAAGCCCTGTACTATCAGTAGACGTTGTAGACTTTTTCCTTTTTGTATGATTACAGAGAGACAGAGATGTATAGATGCTACCTCCTTTTGATAGAGTATACATATTTTTTTCCAGTACACCATAGTTTCAGTCATTACCTATTTTCTTTGATAAGGTCACTTCGCTCCTTTATGTTACCTGTCTGGCCACTATAGTAATTTAAGCTAAGGATCCTTGCATTTTTGTACTCCCAATGTGTATTATAATGCCTTGGGCATAGAAGACACTTGGTAATATAATGAAAGAAGAGATTGATGGTTAAATAATAAATATTACAGCCAAATTTTGAAATGCTGTGTAATTTTATCATAGTTAAAGCCTCAAGAAAGTTTAATACTGCTTTCTGTGTATTTCAGTAATGATTCAGGTGTGTTGTGTTTTTTGGAAGCTACAATTGAAATGTGTTGCTTACCTGGGTCAGGAAGTTTTCTGTTTTTAGCTCTTGTTAGAATTACAACCTATCAATGACATTTCTTATTGAAATGCACCAATAGATAGTTTTTGCTTATTTTTTATTTTTACTTTTTATCAGGTTTCCATTCACGGTGCATTAAAAAGAATAATTATAAATTGGAATAACAAATCTGAGCTGGTGTCAGGACATAGGTTTTATTTTAATAGACTTTATATTTTAGAGCAATTTTAGATTCACAGCAAAATTAAATACAAGGTACAGAAATTTCCCACATTCCACCTGCCCCGACATGTGCATCGCCTTTCCTCTTATCAACATTCCCCAGCAGAGTGGTATATTTGTTACAATTTATGAACCTACATTGCCACATTGTTGCCCAAAACTCATAGTTTACCTTAAGGTACACTCTTGGTGGTATTTGTCCTGTGGGTTTGCACAAATGTATAATAACATGTATTCACCATCATAGTATCATACAGAGTAGTTTCACTCCCCTAAAAATCCTGTGCTCTGCCTGTTCCTTGCTCTAATCCCTGGTGACCACTGATCTTTTTACTGTGTCCATAGTTTTGCTTTTTCCAGAATGTCGTGTAGTTGGAATCATCCAGTATGTAACCTTTGTTATGTATCATCCAGTATTTAACCTTTGTCGTGTAGTTGGAATCATCCAGTATGTGGTATGTAACCATCCAGTATGAGGTTGGCTTCTTTCACATAGTAAATGCATCTAAGGTTCTGCCGTATCTTTTCATGGCTTGATAGCTCTTTTCTTTTTAGAGCTGAGTAACCCTTTGTCTGGATGTACCACAGTTTATTTGTCCATTCACCTATGGAAGAATGTCTTGGTTTCTTCTCAGTTTTGGCAATTATAAATAAAGCTGCTATAAACATCCGTGAGCAAGTTTTTGTGTGGACGTAAGTTTTCAACTCCTTTGGGTAAATACCAAGGAGTGTGATTGCTGGATTGTATGGTAAGAATATGTTTAGTTTTAGAAGAAACTACCAAAGTGTCTTCCGAAGTGACTACCATTTTGCATTCCCACCAGCAGTGTATGAGAGTTCCTTTTACTCCAGCATTTGGTATTCTCAATGTTCTGTATTTTGGCCATTCTAATAGATGTACAGCAGTATCTTGTTGTTTTAATTAGCATTTCCCTGATGACATATGATGTGGAGCACCTTTTCATATGCTTATTTGCACTCTGTATATCTTCTTTGGTAAGGTGTCTGTTAAGAGTTGTTGGTACATTTTTAAATTGGGTTGTTTGTTGAGTTTAAGAGTTCTTTATATATTTTGGCTGATAGTCCTTTATCAGAGATGTCTTTTGCAAATGTATTCTCCCAGTCTGTGGTTTGTCCTTTCATTCTCTAGACAGTATCTTTTGCAGAGCAGAAACATTTAATTTTAATCAAGTCTAGCCTATAAATTCTTTCTTTCATAGATCGTGCCTTTGGTGTTGTACCTGAAAAGTCATTGCCACACCCAAGATCATCTAGACTTTTTCCTATGTTACCGTCTAGGAGTTTTATAGGTTTGCAATTTACATTTAAGTCTATGATTCATTTTGAGTTAATTTTTGTAAGGTTTATGTCCAGATTTGGGTTTTTTATGTCCAGTCATTCCAACACCGTTTGTTGAAAAGATTGTCTTTGCTCCATTGTATTGCCTTTGCTCCTTTATCAGACATCAGTTGACTATATTTATATAGATGTATTTTTGGACTCTCTAGTCTGTTCCATTGATCTATTTTTCTATTATTTTGTCAATACCACAAAAGATTACTGTAGCTTTGTAGGAAGTCTTGAACTCAGGTAGTGTCAGTCCTCCAACCATGTTCTTCTCCTTCAATATTGTGTTGGCTATTCTGGGTCTTTTGCCTCTCCATAGAAACTGTAGAATCAGTTTGACAGTATCCACAAAATAACTTGCTGATATTTGGGGGTTGAATTGAATCTATAGATCAAGTTGGGAAGAACTAATGATGGCAGTATTGAATCTTCCTATCCATGAACGTGGAGTATCTCTCCAGTTATTTACTTCTTTGATGTCTTTCATCAGAATTTTATAGTTTTCCTCACGTAGATCTTCTTATATATTTTGTTAGATTTATACCTAAGTATATCATTTTCAGGGGGGCTCATGTAAATGGTATTGTGTTTTTAATTTCAGATTCCATTTGTTCGTTGCTGGTGTGTAGGAAAGCGATTTATTTTTTTTTATGACTTGCAAAAGTGTTATCTGTTAGATCATCAATGAGAAAAATCAATTTTTGTTTTACCTTCTCTTGTTTCTTCTTCAGCGCTCTTCCTGTCTTTGTGTGTAACTACTTTCTGACCTACCAACTTTCCTTCTCTGTAAAGAACTTATTTTAACATTTCAAAGGGCAGGTCTACTGGCAACAAATTCTCTCAATTTTTTGTTTGTATAAGAAAGTGTTTATTGCTTCTTCACTTTTGAAGGATAAACTTACTAGATAAAGGGTGGGTTTTTTCTCTTAACACTAAGTATTTCACTCCAGTGTCTTGCTTGAATGGCTTCTGAGGAGAAGTCAGACATAATTCTTATCTTTGCACCTCTGTCAGTAAGGTGGGTTTTTTCCTGTGGCTTCTTTCAGGATATTTCCCCCTTTTAAAAAATGTTCTGTAGTTTGAAAAGAATATGCTTCGGTGTAATTTTCTTGGCTTTTATCCTGTTTCATATTCTCTGAGCTTCCTAGATCTGTGGTTTGGGATCTGACATTAATTTGGGGAAATTTTCAGTCATTATTCTTTCGAATATTTTTTTATTCCTTTCTCCCCTCTTTCTCCTTTTAGTATACCCATTATGTGTATGTTATACCTTTTGTAGTTGTCCCACAGTTCTTGGATATTCTGTTGTGGAGTTTGGTTTCTTTTTTTTTTTTTTTTTTTTCAGTCTTTATTTTCTCTTTGTTTTTCAGTTTTAGAGGTTGCTATTAAAATATCCTCAACCTCAGAGATTCTTCCCTGAGCCATGTCCAGATTACTAATAAACCCATCAAAGGCATTCTTCGTTTCTGTTACGATGTTTTTGATCTGAAGTATTTTTTTGTTTCTTTCTTACAACTTCCATCTCTCTGCTTACATTGCATGTCTATTCTTACACACTGTTTACTTTATCCATTAGGGCTATTAGCATATCAATCATTGTTTTAAATTCCTGGTCTGATAAGTCCAATTTCTCTGCCATGTCTGAGTCTGGTTCTGATGCTTGCTCTTCAAGCTGTGTTTTTTCCTTTTAGTATGTCTTCTCATTTTTTTCTTGATAGCCAGGCATGATAGACTGTAAAAGGAACTGCTGTAAATAGGCCCTTAGAAGTGTGGTGAACGTGTTGGGGGTGGAAAGTGTTCTAAGTCCTATGATTAGGGCTCAGTCTTTTAGTGAGCCTGTGCCTCTGGAATGTGAAATTCGCAGTGCTTCTCAGTGTTCCCCCTATCCTCCCTTGGGTCAGATAGGATGGCTAGAGTGGTCTTGGTTATTTCCCTCCCCCCAGGCCAGTTGGGCTCTGACAAAACTCCGGCAGGTTAGGCTGTGGTTAAATAGCTTCTCCTGAAGGCAGACTCTTGTTAAGAACAGAATCTTCTTGTGTATTTCAGAATGGTTCCTTTTCCCTTGCTCCTGTCAGAGGTATGAGGGGATTTTTCTCCAGTATTTACTGTGAGAGCCTGGTAGAGATCCCAGGAGGTAAAACTCATGAAAGTGTAGGGTCCCCTGGTGACTGGCCCCCCTGGAGTATTTGACCCTCAGAGTTGTCCACACTGAGCCTCCACCAATTTGTCAATTACAGTTCAGGTTTCTCTACCCCAGTACTAGTTCCTGCAAAGGTTTCTGCTCTGGCAGCGTGTGATTCTCTGTATTCGCCTGTCTCTCCAGTTCGGTAGCAGTTTGCTTTGTGACCACCCTTATCTTGACAAAGAAGAGTTACTAATGTTTCATATTGTTAGGACAGAATGATGACTTCCAACCTTCGTATATGCCAGACTGGAAACCAGAAGTCCCTCAATCTATTTTAAAACTTTGTCAAGCATAGTCTTTTTGCACGTGTTTTTAAGCTTTTGATTTTCATTATTCAAAATCAAATTTTGAGTGTATATATATACTTTTTTAAAATAGTAATCTGCAAAATAAACTCAGAAAAATACAGTTATGGTACTTCAGGATTATTTTAGTCATTTCTATGACCATCTTTACGTGAGCTGTCCTGGATTTCGTTGTACAAATCAGTTAATGTAAAACTTCTTTTTAGTTCTGTGTTATCAAAAGAAACCAAATGGAATAAGTTTGCTTTACTGATCTAAATATCTAAACTAGTTTTTACCTGGAAACTTGAGCCTGTCTAATTTTTTTACCTGATAAATCTTCTCTACCAAATTGTTACATGAGTAAGTGATTATGAATTACACATTAACTAACCTTCAAATTGATAATTCACAAATGTGGTACTGAATGACTTGTTTGATTTTTCAAGTGTTTTTTACTTTATTTTGAAGCTTCTCAGCCTGTTGATAACCATGTTAGCCCATCTTCCTACTTGGGCCAGACACCAGCATCACCAGCCAGATACTCACCCGTTTCAAAAGCAGTGCTTGGTGATGATGAAATTACAAGGTAAGGAACTGCACATTCTTCATCCTTCTTACATAAAGCCAGCTATTAGATTGGGTGATAATGAGCCAAGTAAGATATAGCCACAATTTTCAGAACTAAAACATTTTATTGACAGATGATGAACTTAAACCTTAATTTTTTTCATAGAGATTCATTGAAGAGCCTGAAATGTAAACATATTTTATATTCCAAATAAATCATTCCTGTTTTTTCTGACATTACTATTTTTTTTAAAGATTAGTAAATTGTCCTTAGAAATTAGATTAGGTAAAACTAAGTTAAGAATATTTATGCATATTTGAAACTAACTTTTCATATATTTCTTATCTAATGTACATCATAAAATATTATGGAAATTATTTAATTTGTGTTCAGAAGTCAAGTGGTTTTCTTTGTTTGATATATATCTTTGATAGCCTGACACTTAAAATTTACTTTCATCTAACATTACTAACTGCGCTAAAGTTCGCGGATTAACTCTCTCTTTATTTCCTAAGAACTCTTAACTAGGTGGGAAAAAATAAGTGAATTCACATATTCAGTATAGTTATAAGACATTATATTTGTACAGTTTGCTTTGTAATTTGTACAAGTATTTCTTATTAATTATAGCATTTAATATTAAATGTATGCCAATTAGTATCTGTTTTTCTGTTTTTATTACGTTGTTTAGCATGTGTTATTTTTGAACCTTCATAATTGAATTATTCTTTGTCAGTCGCTTGGCTCTAGGCCGTGGTCTCTTCAAGGTCAGACAGGAGTGTTTGTCTTCGTTCTCCTCTTCAGGAGTCAGCAGTGTCGAGAACTTAATTTAATAGGTGCTCAGTAATTGTGTTTGGAATGAAAATTTGCAGAAAGAATAGTGTTTGTGATATGAATTTTCGAAACTGTCTTTAGGCTGTCTTCCTATACTGATCTGTCATGGCCATTTTATGGTGGTTATTGTTATTTTCATTTAGTACCTATTTATAGACGTAAAGAGGAAAAATAGATGGCTTATTTAGTCTTTAATCTCTGCATATTTTTCAAACTAAAAAATATGTTAGCATCTTGATTGTTGTTCCCTATCTTTTTTTCACAATATCTCTTGTCTAGAATATTGTATTGCTTTTTAGTTTTACACAACAGGTCTACCTGTTGACTTTTCTGTGACAGTCAGGTGGCTGATTACTGAATATGTCTTTCTAAAATGGGTTGTGTTTTATCACTCCGTTTTGATAATTACACTACTTTGCCAAGATAATGAAGTACAAAAAATCTTTCCCCTCATATTAGAAGTTCTCCACAATTTGACCCTAAGCAATCATTTGGAGATTTTATAATTGGTAATGTGAGATAAAAGAAAAAGAAAAGAAATCCCAACATACAAACAGTTGATGATCCTAACGTTCATTTTTTAACAGCTTCGTTGAGATATGATTCACACAGCATATAGTTAACCCATTTGAAGTGTACAATTAGTGATTTTTCGTATATTACATTATTAATTTTTTAAATTATGGTAAAATCTGTATAACATAAAATTTGCTGTTTTATCCATTTTCAGATGTGCGTTTCAGTGGCATTAATTCATTCACATGTCATGCAACCATCACCATTATCTATTTCCAAAACCTTTTCATCACTTCAGACAAACTCTAACCATTAAGCAATAACTCCCCATTTCCTTGTTCTCCCAGCCTCTGGTAACTTCTACTCTACTTCCTGTCTCTATGAATTTGCTTATTCTAGATTGTTCATATAAGTGAAATCTTATAGTATTTATCCTTTTATGTCTGGCTTGTTTTACTTAGCACAATATTTTCAAGATTATTTCACGTTGTAGCATGTATCAGAACTTTATTCCTTTTTATGGGTGAATAATATTCCATTGTGTGTGTATGCCACATTTTGTTTATCCGTCCATCTGTTGGTGAACACTTGGGTTGTTTCCACCTTTTGGGTGTTCTGAGTAATGCTGTGATAAACATTGGCATGCAAGTATCTACTTATGTCCCTGCTTTCAGTTCCTTTGGATATGTACCTAGGAGTGGAATTGCTGGGTCATATGATAACTCTATGTTTAGGTTTATGAGGAACCACCTATTTTCTATAGCAGCTGCACCATTTTACATTACCATCATCAATATATGAGGGTTCCAGTTTCTCTACATCCTCACCAACACTTGTTTTTTCTGTTTTGTTTTGTTTTATAGCCATTGTGGTAGGTAGAACGTATCTCGTCATAACTTTGATACATTTTCCTAATGATTAATGATGTTGAGCATCTTTTCATGTGCTTATTTGAAAAGTCAGAATTTATTTTCCTCTGGAAATATCATTGGATTTCAGCAGAGTATTCTTTTAATTACTATTTGGTATGTAAAATTATAATTCATACATATGTTTTAAAGCATGGTAGGAACCCTAAACCATGAGTCCACCATCTAACAAGGAATAAAACATCACCAATATAGTGAAACATATCTTCTGCCCCTGATCCTGCCCTGCTTCTCTTCCACTGCCACACCAAGTTAACTGCTTTTGTGAATTTTGAATTTATTATTCCCTTTTCTTTCATATATGTGTTTGTATGTATAATATTTCCTAAGCAGTATATTATGTAGTTTTGCTATATTTGACAAGAAAATATGATTTTGTTAACGCTGTAAATGAACTGGCAAAACTGATTATTGATGAATACCTATATATAACTAGAAAACACCATTTTAAGTTTTGAGCAGACAAATATTTAAGGTTAGTTCCACATTATATGGAAGATCCCTAAAATTTATTTTAAAAGAATACTTAGTTCTTTTAAGCCTTTTGTTACTAATAACTTTCTGCAGTATTTTAGATAAATCAGATTAAATTTTTAAAATAGTTACCAAGTATGATACATTCTAATTTCAAATGGTACTTTGTATTTCATCGTATCTAAAATAATCTGCTACTGGGATTTTCCTGGTCTTACCAGGTGTGAATGGTTTTCACATAACTGTGTATAACTGGCAGCAAATGTGAAACATGATTTAGTCGTAAGATGTTTTCTGATTTCAGATTTTAAATGGAGGAGGGCAGAAAAGGTACATCTTAGAATGGAAGAAAAGCAGAGATAGAGGAATGTGACCTTAGAAATAAAGATATTTAATTATTTCATATTAAAAGTCTGATGATGGGCAGTTCCAAGGTTTGTTTAGCAACCCTAGGTCCATGGTGTCTCTGGGATTTTCTTGTTTGACCTTCATGGTTATAATATATCCAAGCCAGTAATGGGATTTTATTTTTCATTCTTTTTTTTTCTCTGATTTTTTTTCGTAGCAGTGACATTGATTTATAACATTGTATAAATTTCAGGTGTACATCATTATATTTCGATTCCTCTGTAGATTACATCGTGTTCACCACCCTTGTTCATTCTTTAGCACGGGATTAATTTAGATCTGGAGGGAAATAAATGTGCTTTGGATGGGGACAAAATGTGCTTTGTCCTTCTTAAGGTCTTTCTTTGGGAAGTGACAATAAAATTTTCCTTCATTTCTGAGGCAGGAATAGGGTCGTAGCCTCACCTTAGCAAAGGGGAATGGGATTGCAGTGACTGGCTTATATTAGTCATGATTCATCCCTTTGGGACTGGAAAAAGGGACTACCTGCTCTAAGACAAAGGATGCCTTTTATAACATCTAAGAAGGTAGGGGTAGTGACTACTTCATAGGCAATAAAATGTGTGCAACATCAATTTTTCGTAAGTATATGTATTTCTTGAGTAGGCTCTTTATATCATTTTTTTAGTTGCTTCATTGTTTTCTCCTTTTTGTTTGAGTTTTGTGTTTATTTTTTAACGTGATTTTTCTTTAGCTTTTTTATAAAATTAGAATTTTTTTCTTTTAATGTCTAAGCCTAATTTTGTAGGCTTAGAAAGAATGTCTTTATTCCACAGTTTTGAAAACCCTTTTAAATTTCATCTGGCTTTCTTTATAGTTTGATAATATAAGAGTTATCAATAGGGGATTCTTGTTGATAGAATGTCCAGTGCTATATAAAATTTCTAAGGTATTCAATATTTTTTAATTTTTAGGGAACCTAGAAAAGTTGTTCTTCATCGTGGCTCAACGGGCCTTGGTTTCAACATTGTAGGAGGTGAAGATGGAGAAGGAATATTTATTTCCTTTATCTTGGCTGGAGGACCTGCTGACCTTAGTGGAGAACTCAGAAAAGGAGATCGTATTATATCGGTAGGATATGTTGATCAAAATACTGTTTTCCCTATTTTAACTGTTAGTAATAATTAAAAGTTTTGGTTTTTATATTTTAAAGTTATGGGAGATATTTTATCTTCTTACCATTTTACCATTTAATTGTAGAATTATAGTGTTATGAGAGAGCATGTTTTTTATGATAGGTTTTCTTTTGATATTTGACTTATAAGGGGTCAGTCTTTATAATTTATAAATGTACTTGAAGGAAGTATGTATTCTCTGTTGACTGCAGGGTTCTCTTAGATGTCTGTTAACTCAACCTTGTTTCTCTTATAGTTCAGATCTTCTTTATACTTAAATCTGTTGTCTACTTAATCTATTATTAAAAGACATTTTTTAACCATTCTGAATATGATGGTGGCTTTAGCATTTTGTCCTTGCAGCAATTTTTTTCTTTGTATCTTTGAAACTATGTTATGAGATGCATCTAAGTTTAGAATCATCATTGATTATTTGATGATTTTGATTATTTATAGTTTCTTACATTCTTTTGAGTTTTTCTTTTAAACCTATTTATTTTATATTCCATAAATAAAAGTTCTGTTTTCTGAAGTTTGTGGGTATCTAATACACACTATTTTGTGATGACTTGTGGTAAATTGCTTTCTCATGTTCTAAATTTTGCATTGTGAGCTTATTTTCAATAGTATTTTATTTACTTTATGTCTAGGAATCCATTGCTACCTGCATTGGGGGGTGGTATTCTTCCAAAAATATTTTACATTGCTTGTAGTAGACTCAAGAGCATCATTCTTATCACCATTTTTCCAATGAAAAAACTGAAGTTTAGAGGTTAATTTTCCCATAGTAGCTAACAATAGCTAATAAATGGTATAGCCAGGATTCACCTTAACCACTACATTATGCTTTGCCATTTTGTTTTTAATTAAAAAGGTAATACTTTCTAAAATTTTAGGATCTGGGATACAGAAACAAACCTCTATCCTGGGTCAACAGTGCTATTCAGTATTGATAACTATTTTAAACCATTAATATAAATCAATAGAGATCTTTTCAACTACAAAATATAAGGAAAATCAGAAATTACTCCTCAAAACGAAGATGGATGTTGTTGGAACATGATGAGAAAAGCATTCAAAAAATGTACACTGCATCTTTTCTGCCATTTTCAGATCAGTCCGTCTCGCCACCTGACCCTTCCCTGTATGTCCTTAGATGTATCAGCATATTCCTGCAGCCTGTCCTTTTGAGGAGCCTTTATTAATTCAAGATAGACCGAATCTAAGACAGAAAGAGGGTAACTGGTCATTTACAAAAGAAGTAGAACTCTGTTTTTGGTTTAGTTCTGAGATCATAGTGTAACCAACTGGTGTTTGGATGAAAATCTTGGGCATTTGAGTCTTCAAATATGCAGGGGTACTTTACTAAGAATTATAGTACCATAATCTTAGAAAATAAAGGAAATTATTAATGTGCAATGCAACCAAGTGGAAACTGTACTTCTGTACTTAAGGCTACAGCAACTAAAATAGCATAGTGCTATCCAAGAACAGTGATTATTGGAAGAGATCTGTAAAGCAGGAATACACCCTAGTTACAGTGTTAGAATGTCAGGTGTCAAGAGACCATCACTCTTACCCTAAAAACCAAAACAATCTGGATAAGTTTAGAGAAACTAACCCCGTCAGAGGACTGAGAATTCAAAGTAACCTAAGTAAACTAACTTACAGATAGTAACTAGTCCTTCACAGAAGAGAAGACACCCATGGCAGTGCCTTCTTGGTAGAGTGGTGGGAGGAAGAGAAGGAATAGATGGGGGTAGGGAGAAATCAGCCAAAACTTTACCCAACATTTAATGGCCTCAGTGGACTGATGAAACTGATAAAAATTCTGGGAAGCCACAGAGCAAGTCTACACTTACCTGCCAACTCTTTCCCATGGGTGTTCACTGAGTGCTCAGAGGCAATAAACCAAAGGTTAGGAACCAACAGAGGTGAACTGAGAGAAAATCATTCCTTAGTCGTATAGTGCATCCCCAAATACAAGACACTTGACCAATAAATATAGGGGACTTTGGGCAGAAGATTTGTGAAAGTCAACCTCAGGAACTTTGTACCTTGAGCTGCTAATGGCTGAGAGTGGGGCAGGAGAGCTGAGAAAAAGCAGTCTGAGGCAATCTAGACAGAGAGATATCTCCAGAACACAGCAAGCCTGGGGTAGGTCTCAGAGCGTGGAACTTATCAGCAATCCAGAAAGCTGGCAGCAGGGTTATAAGGCAGTGGTTCGGTGCTTCAACTATAAAACACAAAGAGATCTTGGGGATCTCACCTGTGCTCACATCGTAAACCCCTCAGAAGGAAAATTCTTAATCCTGCTCTCAAAACATTTGACATTAAACTTAAAGTTACAACAAAATCTAATTACATTTCAACTACAGATCATATCACTGCAGCTCCCTCCCCGACTTTAGTGGCCTGAGACAAGGGTTGTTCCCTGTTCTAGAATTAAGTATTATTTATTTCAGCCTCTACTGTTATTTTACCCAAAATGTCTATTTTATAATTAAAAATTACAAAACACGTGAAAAAGAAAGAAAATGAAACTAGTTATCAAGACAGAAAGCAGTCAATAGAAGTAAATGAGAGAAGGCTTAGATGTTGGATTTATTAAACAGGAGCTTTAAAATAATTATGATAAAGTCATGTGATGATAATACTAAAGGGTGTAGGGGTAAAGGTAGACAATAAGGTTGAAAAGATTGGAGAATTTCAGCAATGACCTAGAAACTACAAAAAGTGAATTATGTGGAATTGCTAGAAATAAAAAAAGCTATCACAAATGAAACTTTTATTTGAGAGACATAATAGCATACTGGAATCAGCAGAGGAAAGAATCAATAAACTTGAACATAGGTCAAAGAAAATTCCCAAACTGAAACATAAAGTGAGTGGGGAGAAAAGGTTTGGGAAGAAAAAGCAAACCACAGTGTCTGAGATCTATGGAACAATATCAGATGGTCTAATAAAGAGGAGACAGAATCTTTGAAGACGTAATGACAAAGAATTTTCCAAACCGATGAAAGGTATCAACTCACAGATCTCTGATGCGCAGCAAACTCAAGACAGAATATGTACAAAGCAAACCAGACCTAGGTCCATCATGCAGTACTAGAAAGCTACGCTAAAGAGCACATGTCAAAAGCAGGCACAGAAACAACACGCTGCGTACATGGGAACAATACAAATGACAGCTGACTTCTCCCTAGAAACATTAGAAGACATAAAACAATTGAACAATATCTTCAAAGTGCGAAAAGAAAAACTGTCAACCCAGAATCCTATATCCAGTGAAATTATTCATCAGAAATGAAGTTGAAATAAAAACAATTCAGACAGACAGTAACTGAGAGAATTTGTCTCAGACCCACAAGAAATACTAGAAGAAATTGTTCTGGTTAGAGAAATTCTACCATATGGAACCCTAGATCTGCAGAGAGGAATTAAGAACAACAGAAAGGGTAAATACCTGGATAAATATAGAAAATACATTTTTAAAGTTTTTAAAAGTAGTTTTACATATTTTATTAGACTATTGGCTATTTAAAACAAAAAAATTGCAGTGTATTGTGGGGCTTATGACGTGTAGAAGTAAAATGTAAGGCCACTAGAACACAAACTGAAAGGGAAGATGGAATTACACTATTGTTTCTTATACAGTTTGTGAAGTGGTATAAGCTTACTTGAAAGTAAACTGTGATAACTTATACTTATGTGTTATAATCTCTAGAAGAGGCAGTAAAAATACTACAAAGAGGTATAATTTTAAAAAAATCTATGCAGGAGATAAAATGAAATATGAAAAAATACATGCTTCTTACAAATGAAGGCAGGAAAGGAGGAAAAGACAGGGTAAATAAAAAGCAATACCAAGATGTAAGTTTGAAATCCAACTATATTAACATCTGTCTTACAGTAAACACTCCAATTAAGATGCAGAAATTTTCAGCTTGGTTCAAAAACAACCAAGACCCAACTATATGCTCGTTATCAGAAATTCATTTTAAATCTGAAGACTCAGATGTTGTAAGTAAAAGAGTGGAAGAAAGTATACCATGTAAACAGCATCTGGAAGATAATGTGACTATATTCATATGAGACAAAATAGACAAATAGATTATAACAGATTTTATAATGATAAAAACACCGTTTCATCAAGACATAACAGTACTCAGTGTGCATGTACCTAATAATCCTCTCAAAATACATGAAGCAAAAATTACCAGAAATGAATGATGGAACTGAACTTCTAGAAGAAAACATACAAGAAAATCTTGGTGAACATTTGGATTAGTCACAGGTTTCTTAAAGAAGACCAAGGGACCAAGTCAGTTCAATGGTGAAAGGAAAGTCTTTTTAATAAATGTTGCTGAAACAACTGCATATCTCTAAGGAAAAACATGGACCTCAACCCAGTCTTACTCCGGATGTAAAAATGAATCCTAGATGGATTATAAATCTAAGTGTAAAGCCCGGAACCATAATTCTCCTAGAAGAAAATATAGGAAGATATCTTTGCCACCCTGGGGTAGGCAACAGTTTCTTGGACAAGATACATAAGACACTAACCATAAAAAAGGTGCCATTAAGAAACCAAATAGGGAGCCCGCCTCGTGGCTGAGTGGTTAAGTTCACACGCTCCACTTCAGCAGCCCAGGGTTTTGCCGGTTCGGATCCTGGGCATGGACCTAGCACTGCTCATCAAGCTGTGCTGAGACGGCATCCCACATAGCAGAGCCAGAAGGACCTACAAGTAGAATATACAACTATGTACTGGGGGGCTTTAGGGAGAGGAAGAAGGAGGAGGAAAAAAAAGATTGGCAACAGATGTTAGCTGAGGTGCCAATCTTTAAAAATAAATAAATGAATAAAAAATATATTTAAAAAACAAAGAAACCAAATAGACAAGCCACACAGTGGGAAAAAATATTCTTAGTACATTTATCTGACAAAAGACTT